CACACACACACACACACACACACACACACACACACACACACAAATGAAGCCATTTTTCTTTTCAGTGAAATTCACTTATCAGTTTTCTATTGACTGTTAAGGAACTTTACACTGATATGTTTTTTAAAATATTTATTATTTTTATTTTATGTGTATGAGTGTATTGTCTGCATGTATGTGAGTGCACTCGTGTCATGCAATGCCGTGGAGATCAGAAGAGGACTTCAGAATCCCCTGGAACTGGAGTTAAGGAAGGTTAGTAGCCACCTTGTGGGTACTGGGAATCGAACTTGGGTTCTCTGCAAGAGCAGTAAGTGCACTTAACTGTTGAACCATCTCTCCAGCCCCAACTGATACAGTTTTTTGAATGTTCATTTAAAGATGACAGAAGTTGGGATTTTAATAAGTTCAGATAATGCATTCATCCAGTTCTCCAGTTGTTAATGTTGTAGATTGCTTACTTTTGATATTTCTACACTTTCCTTTTTGAAAAGTGTATGTTTTCTATTATCAAGAGACATATTAGGGCCTAGAGAGGTGGTCGCGGTTCTTCTAGAGGACCCAGGTTTGGTTTCTAGCACCCACATCAGGCAGCTCACAATGGCCTGTAACTCCAGTTCCAGGGATCCAATGCTCTCTTCTGACCTTCTTGGGCATCTTCACACACACAGCATACACACACAAAACAAACAAACAAACAAAAAAACAAAGTAAGACTCTGATTTTTTTTTTCTTGCTTTTCTTTGTATATGTTTATTTATAGGGGGTACATCTATATGTAGATGTACTTGCCCATGTATATATCTGTGTGTGGAGGGCAAAGGTCAATTTCAGGTGTTTTTCTCAGGTGTCATTCTTCCCCTTTTTTCTTGAGACAGGATCTCTCACTTGCCCTGGAAGTCACTCATTAGACTAAGTAATCTGGCTGGCCAGTAAACCCAGGGGTCTCTCTGACTCCTCTTCTTTAACCTTGGGATTACAAGTGCACACACCCACAATTGGCTTTTAAAATATGGGTTTTTTAAAATATGAGTTCTGGGAATTAAACTCAAACTTGCATGGCAAACCCTTTACCTACTAAACTATCTCTCCAGCCCTTTTCTTGCTTTTCATTGCTTGAATGCATTGTTGAAATTCTTTGAACAATTTTATATTAGTGCTCAATTTAGTAATTCATTTATTTACTCACAATATTTGAGAATCATTACTTCTAATACATTGTACTGCTTTAATAATACAATTAGCAAGGAATAAAATATTTAGCAAATCATAGAGAAAATGTTATTTGAAATATTATTTAATAAGCATATTTTATTTAGTTAAATCTTATTGAAGTTTATAATTTTTTAAAATTCATGGATCCATTGTTCAAATTGATCAACAATCTGAATGGGGGTCTACAGTGATTAAGTGGGTGGCTCAGTGGTTACAATCATTGACTGCTCTTGCAAAGGTCCTGTGTTGGGTTCCTAACACCCACATGGTGCTTAACAACTATCAGTAACTACTGTTCCAGGGATCTGACATCCTCTTCTGGCCTCTGTGGTGCATACATGTGGTGCACTTACATACGTGCATGCAAAACACTCACACACATAAAATAAAAATAAAAAGAATATAAATAATGTAGAGCTATCTCCTATTTAAATTATTATTTATGTATTTATTTAATGTTTATAAGTGTTTTGCCTGCATATACATAGTGTACCACATGTGTGCAATGCCTGTGGAGGCCAGAAGAGGGCATCAGATTCCCTAGAACTGGAGTTACCAACAGTTGTTAGCTGCTATGTGGGTGCTAGGGGTCTAACTCCAGTTCTCTGGGGCAGCCAGTGCTCTTAACTACTGAGCCATCTCTCCAGCCCTCTACCACTACATTTAAAGTGATGGGAATTTGCTTTGCTTTTTTTGATTGTACAAAGAGCCAAGTCTGTTGTCTTGAATCACCTTGTATTGTGGACAAAGTAAGGATTTCTTCCATATTGTAAACATGAAATATGAATCTTTGAAACATAGATAACAATGAA